ATGAGAAGTTGCTCACCAACAGAAATCCGATCCCCAAGCCCTTCTTTTATAACATGATTCAGGTTTGTCTGTTTTCAAAGTCAAATGTCTTTTGAGGGCCCTTACGAAGCATTCGCCACCCTGAGAAGGCGAGAGTCCCCGATCACAAGGTGCCATTTAAGATTAATATTATACTACCATTGCCTGGGTCTTTAACCCAGAGAGCAGATTTCTGAGAGAGCAATGTCACCACCCTTGCACAACCAGGTTTTGGAAATATACAGTTCACTAGAGAGGCATGTTCATCAAGTTGTGGACAAGAAGTGTTTTACAAGGACTGCATTACAGCCGACAAACCTTTGCACTGATACATGTACAGTACCAGTAGGCCAGCTAAAGATCTGGACACCCTCTAGCCCAGTAAGTAGCTGCTCTACTTCCTCCCTTTTTCTGTCAAGCATCTGCCATTTATCTGCTCACTTATCTTCACCATCCTTCCGATTTATAACACTGCACTTTTTTTTTTGCCAACTCCAATATTACAGGATAAGCATGACCATAATCACCCAGAATCTTCAACTCTACCAAAAATAATTCTAAATAGTATTCTTCCAATCTGACCCAATTCTCCCTTTCAAAAAAACATTCCTTGTTTAGCACCATCTCTCAGTCCTTTGCGTCCATAATAAGCAGAAAAAACTGCTGTATCATTGACGGAAGTTAAAAGGCCTCTGTTCTGCGCCCCCCTCCCTTTAGCAGTCCTCTGAACTTTTAACTGCTGGCCAGCCCCAGAATAACCATACAGTCCTAACACTTAGACAAGCATTTCCCTGACTCCTTAAAAGAGCAGGAATCCCCCCCAGGATAAAAGGAGACACCATATATAGATATGAAATCCACATATCTGAGGATGATCTTCCTTTACGGATTTCACACAGGATCAAAACCCAAATTAGGAGCATCTGCACATCTGCACAGGAAGGACATGTGTTAAAACCAGCATGTTCACAAACCCCTTAGCACGCATCAAGGACTAGTGCCCCTATAAAACCAAGCCTCTGGACCCCATTTCTTATGCAGTCTACCCCCAAAAGCAAATCTCTTTGTTCTTGGGAATAAAATTGGATCTCTTTTCTCACAGTATGTCTGGATTTCATTTTTTCATTTGTTCGTGTGCCACCATGGCTTGCAGGACCTCAAACTATTATTCTAACATCATAAAAACTGGTTATAATCTTGTACATTTATTATAAAAATACCACTGAATTATACATAATGCATTGATGAACGCTCACCAAGACAGCATGGCAGTCGCTATAGTAACTGGACCAGATAGGACCCATGCATCCTCCTAGCTCTCGAATTGTGATCTTCTTTCCTATTGGGAGATCCGTAAGATTTGTGCCTACCTGCAAAAACACAATCATATATATACACAGATGTGCAAATGAATTAATGTGTAACATACCATAAACTACAATAGGTTTTATTCCCAAGAATGGGTGCACAAAACTGTAGATACTGTCTATTCTGTTAATAAGGTTCTTATCAGGGTATAGTAATCTAACTCTCCCAATTCTAATGAGAAAGAGCAAAATCTGAATATTTTTACATTAAAAGTTTTGGTATGCAATATCATAAAGTTGTTTTCAGGATCCTCAGATACCCGAGCCCTATCTTCAGTTCAAGTTCTGATATAATTCAGTAGTACCAGAAGGCCTTCTGCCTTCATTGTTGGTATGTTTTTCAGGATTTAAATATCCAAAAATATCCATGTCATATACATACTATTGAGCTATGACAAGCCTGACTAACATTTCCTCAGGTACTTGCCTTTTCCAAGACTGGAAAAAAACAGCAGCTGAAAAATCATGTTGGAGGGAACATGATAATAATTCAATTCATTTATTTATTTTTCACATTTTTAAACTGCCTATCTCCCTGAGAGATGGATATTATTGGTTAACTACATAATAACAAGCCATCAGTGGACGCATCCTATATCAACATACATTACAAAATATAATGGAAGGAAAATAATAACAATTGCAGAGGAGGTAGCAAAGGTAGCAAAGTTTGTCCCAGAAGAATTAATCCTGAGGGCCACCTACTGGCTTTAATTACATGAGGCTTTAAAACCTGCTTGGAATGAAGACATTATGAAAACAAGCATGAACATTGCAATAACATTGCAATAGTTACAATCAACTATAAAATTACAGTTAGAGCAACAAAAAAGTTATTTTTTAGAAGTAGCTGTAACCCTATAGTACAAGGATCTTCAAACTTGGCAATGACTTGTGGACTTCAATTCCCAGAATTCCTGAGCTAACATGACTGGAGGAGGAATTCTGGGAGTTGAAGTCCACAGGTCTTAAACTTGCCAAGTTTGAAGATTCCTGCTATAGTATTATGATGCACAATGTGAACTGAGCTTCATTTAAATCCTACTAGTAGATTAAGAGATTCTGGTAAAGAAACAACACATAAAATGGTATAGTGTGTACTGTCTAGTGAACACACTAAGCCAGGATTCACTATCTTTATTAGAAAATTTGTAAAGATTTAAAGTACTAACAAAGTAATTGGTGTTACTTCTTTTAGCAAGGACAACTTCCAACAAATGTTTTCTCTTTACAGAATTACAACTAATATATGATTGTGCTGTCTTACACAAACTTAAGGTGATGCCACATAGTATTTCAACTGAGTTCATGTCACAGCTTTAACTTGGATATTCCAAAATTCAGTTTCCCCTGCTTCAGTCATTTTGATGTAGATTTATAAATATTTTACTATTATTTCGTTGCATGATCCACATTCATTTAAGCATCAGCTCATGGACAGATACCCTGTCATTTTCCTGATGAATTTGCTGATACAGCTCAAAATTTGGTTTTTTCAATTATTGCAAGGTGAAAGCAGTCCTATTCTTTATGCACTCTTCTGTTAGAATGCAGTATGAAATCCACAAAAATCTGTCGAGCTCATAATTCACTTCTACAAACCTGTGTCATAGAGGGAAAGTTCCAAAAGAGGCAATCAACTTTTTACTTAATTGAGAAGAGTCCCTCAAACTCATACCTGGATTGTCATCAAATTAATTGAAATATCTAATTCAACTAGAATTTGATTATCTTAGGCTTCACATATTTTCCCCAGCAGAGATATTAAATACTGACTCAATGTCAGTAGACATGACACAGTGTGCAGTTTTCAGTATTGTTGTAAGTATAAAGGTATTAGGCTAGAAATCATGAAATCTAGTCTTGCCTTAGATATGAAGCCAACTCGGTGCCTTTAGGCAATTATTTGCTTAGACCTGGGAAGAAGGCAAGGATAAACCACTTCTGAAAATCTTGCCCAAAAAAACCCAGGGATTAGTTTAGGCAATTGCCAGGAGAGAAGGCTGACCTGAAGGTATAGAAAGAGAGCTTTCTCTATTATTTACTGAAAAATACAAACAAATCTAAGCATACAGCATGTGGTATCCTACACTGCGTCTACTATTAATCCACTAGCCTAGCAAAATATATTCAATACCTAAACAGCACACCATAGCCATTCCCTCAGCAGTTTGTACAGTTTGACTAACAATACTCAGCCACCAGATACACTGTGAGGAAAAGAGCCTAATGCAGAAGGCATATACCTCCCTCTTGCCCTATAATACTGAGAAAAGGGAAGGGAGAACAGAAAAGGCTGTTTAAGGGTATGTATATAAGAATGTTTGGATGAACCTGAGTCTCCTAATCCTATTTTCCACTGTCTCATATATTGTACTTGCCAGCTCCAACTATTTAGGTGGGCTCAATTCTAGAAACCAATCAACCCTGATCTATTCAAGCAACAGTAGTCAAAGAATTCCTTTCACTGGATTTCTTTTCACCAAAACCAGTGAACCAAACATAATAAAAGCCATACCGTTGGCAAAGTAGCTGGTGGGTCTCCAAGGTCCTTGGCACCATCTTTGGAGCTCAGCTGTATTTTTGAGCCATTAAGGAAGATGATAGGAAAGAATAACATTCAATACAGTAAGATACAGGTCGGATTCAAATTTTCCAGAATAGCCTTTCTCAAACCAATGCTCTCAGATGTCTTCCACTGCCTAGGTTTATCTGGGAATTACGGAAATATTTCTCAAAGATCACTATCTGGAAGATAGCAGGATATGAGTAGGAAAGGCTGCTCAAGAAGGAGATCCCATCTACACCCTTACCCAATACAGCAAGGACTAAATATTCTGGGTCAAAAAAACCTACGTTCCAAACGTCAAGCAGGCTTTTTTTTTAATTCCATCCCTCTCTCTGACACTTAACTCCACATGTTAGTCCCAAGATGGCACAAGAGGCCAACCCTTATAATTTTTTTTCCAGGGTGTGCATTTAACGATTTAATATTGTATTGCATGCTTCACTTGAAAAAGTAATGGCACCGGACAGAAAGCCATATTCCAAGTCTTCCTTTTGCATTTAAACTTCATTAAAATTAAATAGAATCCATTACGGGTTTTTTTTTTCACTCTTACATTTAATGGATGACCTCTTCGGTCCCAGTTAAAATTACAATTTAGTAATCACAATTTAGTAATCACTTTCTGAAATCTCTAGAGGCCACCCACAGTCTGTGCATCTCTGCCCTGGCAGACAGGCAAGGCGCACCCACCACCTCCTTGGGCAAAAGCGTCTCCTCGCTCCTTTTCCCTTCCTCGCTAGGCACTCCTCTATTTCGTCCGCCTTTGACCCACGAGCCCCGCTTCCCCCTTCCTCGTCGGGACTCGAGGATATTCTGCAGCCGCTTCACCAGCAACGTCTTTCCCACCCCGGTCGCCCCAAGAAGCAGGCAGCAGAGAGAAGCACCACAGCTTCCCGCCATTCCCATAGCAACCAAGGCCAGACCGTCCGGTCGCCAACGTTTTTCGCAGCGTTCATTGCTTCGGAGCGACAGTTTGCTTCGTTCACGCTTCACCCAATCGCTAAGGCTTACCGCCGGAAAGCCCGCCTCTCCGCTGACTGGAAGGCGGAAGCGGGGCCTAAATTGCGGAGACGTCGGAAGGGGAAGAGCGGCGGCGGCGGGTCGGTCTAGCCTGATCTTCAGCGGGGAGCACAATGGGGCGAGGAGGTGGCACCTTCGAGCGCCTTTTAGGTACCGAGGAGGGAAAAGGGGACCTTTGGCCTAACCCTGCCTCAGAGCTTCGGCCTTCATTTTAACGCTCGTTCGGAGCAATAGGGCTGGGTTTCCTTGCTTCGACCTCCCTTTCTTCAGCTCTTGTGTGCAAAACACCTTTCTGTAAATCGCGCCTTCCTTTTCTGGGGTCTTTCGTGGCTCCCGAAAACCAATCAGGATTGTTAAGCATTTTCCCTTTCGGGTCTTTTATCTCTCTTTTCCCCCACCCCCCTCATGTACACCCATATTGATTGTCCTGTATTTATTGGTAGGATCATTGTCCTCGCTCCACCGATTGCCAGGTTGTACTTCATCGACAAAGAGGTCGACTGGAGTGATTAATAATGAGATATTGCCTAGTGTCATGTGATGGGATTGCAGAATGACAGTATTACTCACTCTCTTTTCCTTTGCGCTTGATCCATTTTAAATGTACGGAATGATATAAATGTGTAATGAGAAAAAAAAAACCAGTCTCCGTCCTGTATTTGTAATTGTACAATGCTGCTGACCTCAACACTAACCTAGAATCAGGTTCTACAAGGTGACTCTGATTGTACCAGGAAATAACAGGCTAAGTACTGATGTGTTGCATTAGGACAAATATCAATGGAAAGAAAATCTACATCACCCCCTATCAATAGTTGACAAATTAACTGGTGTTTTTGCGTTGATGGGAAAAAGGCAATGATCAGTTATTCGTTTCCCTTTAAATATAACACTCTATTTGAATTTGGAGTGTTAGAATATACCACAGTATACCATTCCAAAATATACTTAAATAAATTCCTTCAAGAAATTGATAACATGACAGGGAAGGAGAAATTAAAGGTGAGCGGGTGATATGCCGAAAGTTTAAATATGTACAAAAGCAGTTACATGTAAGTAGGACTTATTCTACGTAAATGTGAAAAAGTATCAAAGTTTATGACAAAAGGAAGTTTGGAGAAAGAATTGGAAAGAAAAGGAAGTGAAGAGGTTATGATCTAAACTTGTTGATGGAGATGCTAGAGTGGCCTAATTAAAGAAGTCTATTTATTGGGGACAATAAAAATGAAGTAATTACAGGAAATATAAGATAACCGGGCAAATGATAAATGATATGGTTGGAGGAGCAAACGTTTATAGCTAGAGTTAGATTCGACAGCCAAGTTTTGCTGAGAAAAACTCTGTATAAATGCCTGCTAATAGCATATAGTAAATATCTGTAATAGCTGTAATTGTTTGTGATCTGAAGTTCTCATTCATCTCTAATAATTCTCATCAGAAGAAAAATCCTTTTGTCCATCAATTCTCTAATAGTGAATATAAATTTTAATTTGTGCTTGAATGACTTATCTTATTATCTTGCAGATAAGGCTACAAGTCAGCTTCTGCTGGAGACAGACTGGGAATCTATTCTACAGATCTGTGATATGATCCGTCAGGGAGATACCCAGTACGTGCTGAACTCTACCATCTTATAATTTCCCCTATTTTTATGTACTTTATTGACAAAAGAAGCATTATTTCATTTCAATTAAACTTTAAGCAAAGTATGAGTGGAAAGAAACATGCTGCTAACACAGGTATTTGAATCTAAGTTGATCCATTTTTCTAAAGCCAGAATTTCTGGTATTGGCTACATTGTATCTCTAAAGACTTTGTTGTTCTATAGACACTCTTAGGCCATTCAAACAAACCATCAGCTAGCACAGCGCTACATAGTGTGAGATCTCTGTATAACTCACCAAATCCTTGGCAGTCTCTAGATTGTTGATAAATTGTAAATTTTAATATCAAAAAGAAAAAAAAATACATAAGAAAGAATCATGTCAATGATAGTGCAGTGTTAATCTTAATATTAGTTTTAATATTAATTGTAATTTCATTTTTTTCTTGGGCCTTGCTCATTTCTGAAGTATGGATTTCAGGATGCTATTCAAAGCTGAGGGCTGCCATCACTCAAAAAAAAAAAAAAAAAGATTGGTTGCTACCCTCCAGATATCATGGACTTCAGCTCCCATCAATGCTCCCCTTTCTCAGCCTGTTTTTGGCCTGTTTTTTTTTGGCCCATTTATTGGCCCGGATTTTGGCCTAGTTTGGGCCCAGTTTCAGCTGGCAGAGTGCTGCAGGAGGCCATGGAGGATGAAAATGAGGCACAGGGGGCCCGCATGCAGCCCATTTTAGCCACCAGGCACAGCGGGCTGGTCCCTTTATATTTCCAGGCTGGCCCCGTGGACCGGATTTAAGCACCCCGCAGGCCAAATCCAGCCCGTTCTAGGAGATAGCCATTTGGGATTTTTTTTTTTTGTCTAGTCTAGTCATAATATGACTTTTTTTTTTGTCTTGACATACACACAGTCTCCTTCATCAAGTGTTTGCATTTTGTGGGTGATTATATTATGTTTCATGAGAGAAAAAATGTTCTCTGGCTTCAGTGTTTCTTGCACCTTTCATTAGACTGAACTGCTTCTCCTTCTTCCCCTATGATTTCCCAGGGCTAAGTATGCTGTGGGTGCAATTAAGAAAAAAGTCAATGACAAGAATCCTCATGTGGCGCTCTATGCACTAGAGGTAAGCAGAAGTATAATCAGGCTCCCAGGTGACTAGAGAGGTGTTCCTCATTTGGACCTGGGTGGTATGCATTGTACAGGAGATCCAAACTATTTCTTTGGAAGTCTCCTAACTTTATTTGGGAACCAACTTTTGTATATTTTTGATGCAGGTTTTGGAATCTGTAGTAAAGAATTGTGGTCAGACAGTCCATGATGAGGTGGCTAACAAGCAGACCATGGAGGAATTGAAGGAATTGTTCAAGGTAATAGCACTTAGGCCGTTTTTCTTTACAGTAAGCTAAACTACAGAAAAGCCTTATACTAGAGTGGGGTAGAATAGATTGACTTTGCTGTTCTTTTTCCCCTGAAGCTTTGTATTAATATTACATGACAAAAACTATCTTATATGACCTTTTTAAAAAAGTAAACAACACAGAAAAAATGCCAAAGTCCTAAAGTTTTATTTAAAAAAAAATCTGTTTAGACATTAAAAACTGTAATGACCTTATTCAAGTGTAGCATGTTTATGCATTTATATATACATATACCACCTCTAACATATTTCAATTACCTTGAAATAGTTTTAGAGCACAATCGTTTCCACGTCTGCACATGTATTTGTATAGCAAAGATTTCACCCTGAGTAGTTGTGCATACTTATATCAATGTATGTGTTACTGATGCTTTCATTGCTTGAATACACTATTGGATTGTTTTCTTATTATCATCACATTTTCTAATGCGTGGATTTTATCTACTAGTATGCCAAATGAAACTTAAACTTTCTGTGCTTCCACTGTATCTCTGAAAAAAAATCAGTGAAGAAAAATAAATGTTGGATAACAGTGCAGGTCTTGTACTCTGATTTGCTAGTTCTTAAAAATATATAGATTTAATAAGTATATAGTATACACAAGTGTAGTAATGTTCCTGTAGCTAAGTGGTGGAACAAATCTTTTTCCTAGAAGAACATTCCAAATTTAAATCCCGGTTTCTTTTGCACTATAGAGTAACATGACTTCTCCCACAAGGTCCGTTGTTATTGTTGCTCTCTTAACCCTAACCCTATCCAATTTAGATCTTGTCCTCATGATCTTTCCTGCCTTACAGTATTTCAGCCTCATTCCATCAATGATTCTTGATGGAGCAATATACCATTGTACAAAGTGAGAATGTGCTTGACTGCATCTTCAGTAATCCTAGTGTTCAGGGAAGAGTATTTTTCTACAGGAGCCTTTCTGTACCTTTGGTTTTTTTTTTAACTTGTTGCAGCAGGAAGAGCCTTACATGATTTTATGTTTGTGAGGTAAGAACAGTCGTTTGTGTACCAAAACACCTCTTAAAATTAGATATAAATGTCTTCGGCGAGAATACATTTTTAGGAAGAAATTGTTTTGGGTCCCTAGTCATATTGTACACATTTATAAGCAATGACTAAACAAGGGGAACAGTTGGCTTTAGCTTTTGCTGCTCTGAGGGATGATGCATTGTGTATCAGTATCATAACTCAAACAATGGAAGATTGCGAGCTCAGTTCTGCTGGCTACACAGTGCCTGATCTTGACCCTTCCTATTATCTGCAGAGACAAGTTGAAGCAAATGTTCGCAACAAGATCCTGTACCTGGTCCAAGCATGGGCCCATGCCTTCCGCAATGAGCCCAAATACAAGGTGGTCCAAGATACCTACCAGATCATGAAGGTAGAAGGTAAGGAAAGGCAAGTAGCCTTCCATTGTGGTATTAAGGCCATTTGTGTGGGTAATATGTCTGCAGCTGGGAATTTGGAGAAAAATCAGAACTTTCCATTTATTTATCAAATTTATATGGCCTGAAAACCACCTCATAAATTTACTGACACTACTGAAGTGCTGGTGGCAATTGCTCAGTGAGTTTCAAATACTGTTCATAGTTATTTCACTTCTTGGGCTTATCTCAGTCTTCTAATTCTGGAGCCATCAGATAAATCGGCTTTCAAATTCTGTCATTCTAATCCCTTCTGACTCCACAATTCTGGACATAGTGACAATCAAAAATCCCTTTGCCCTTGTTCATTGTCACACTGACATTCATGGGATTTACTGGTCAAGTGATTATCTGGAAAGATTCTGAAGAGTTCTTGCAAATAAATCATGCCCTGTAGCTCCCTATCTTTGAATGGTAAAAAAAGAGACTTTGGGGCTTTGCCCACATGAGGCAGAGCATAGGGAAACATGGAGACAGTTGCTCGTGTCCATCGTGTAGTCCTCAGTCCAAGATCCAGGGCCCAAGGTTTGGCATGCAAATGGCATGACGGTGTTAATTTACCTACAGGTCATGTTTTTCCAGAATTCAAAGAAAGTGATGCGATGTTCGCCGCAGAAAGGGTAAGTATCCCAGCTGGGAAAGTGGCTCACCATATTGGGGGAAATAATTTTGACTTTTCTGTAGTAATTACATCTTGAATGTGTAGCATATATTTGTTTTGTCTCTGGTTTGATACTGTTTCTAATGCTGAATGAATCAATCACTAGCATAACAGTTGGTTGAGGCAGGTGGTAAAACACAGCCTCTCCTTTTTTTTTTTTTTGCTGTCCATATATTAGGAATTTTCCTAATTCCTTTCTTCACCATTCATTACTTTACATCTGAGAGTGATTTGTAATTGCAGTTATATTCAGACAGACAGCTAATCTTTTTTCAACTTGCAAGTCAACAAAAAGATTAGTTCACACTGAGCTTTTACTGACCATTAACGACACATTATATCACTGGATGCATTTCCTTTATCTGTAATGTATTCTAGCATAGCAGTACTTTTGGAAAACTGCACATTTAGGATCAAGGCAAGGTGTTATAGTGGCCTTTTTTTTGTACTCATAACTGCTGTGCTTCTGTGCGATTAGGCTCCTGATTGGGTGGATGCAGAAGAATGCCACCGGTGCCGTGTTCAATTTGGGGTGATGACTCGCAAGGTGAGTACTACTGCATCCTCTGATCCTGGGATCATATGCTGAATGTGACACAGGGGTTTTGTTAGAGATACTGGGAGAGAAGAGGGCATTGGCATTTATGTTTTCCTACTATATGTTTATCTTGGATAATCGTGATTGTACTGGTATGTTCACAGCATCATTGTCGGGCCTGTGGGCAGATCTTTTGTGGAAAATGCTCATCCAAATATTCCACCATCCCCAAGTTTGGCATAGAGAAGGAAGTACGAGTATGTGAGCCTTGCTATGAACATCTCAACAAGTAAGAGCTTAGCTGTGGAAGAGGCTACTACATTGAGATTCTGAAAACAATAGCTGTCTGGGCATCTCTGCTTTCTGTTTGTGTGGATTCTGCGGTGTGGGATTTATAAAAATGGCCTACCTTCTATCCTACAGAAAGCTGTTTCCGGGAAAATTGCTAGTTGGTTCTTTGCAGATTATCGTTTAGTTGCCGCTGGGCCCCTCTGCTTCCTTTTCCCCATTCAGTTTAGCAAGAGGGTAGTTCAGCAGCAGTCATGACCTTGTCCTTTCTATCCATATAGGAAGGGAGAAGGAAAAGGATCTACTAGCACAGAACTTCCTCCGGAATACCTGACCAGCCCTCTTTCACAACAGTCCCAGGTTAGTCCATGCCTCTTTTAGCTCTCTACTCATCTTTAATTTAATTCATCAGTTCCACATAGTAGGTACGGTGATTGCTGTTTATTCTGCCCATAGCTGCCCCCAAAGCGTGATGAAACTGCCCTGCAGGAGGAGGAAGAGCTACAGCTGGCAATTGCACTTTCCCAGTCTGAAGCAGAGGAAAAGGAAAGGATGGTTTGTGTATTGATCGTGATTCTTGCAAGTTGTCATAACTTTCATTAGTCATAACTAATCTTCCTATGAATTCCTCATGCTTGGTTGCTTTGTGCCATTTGCAGAATTTATTTAGCAACTCAGGCTTCTTCTTGTGACAGCCTGTTGTCCAGTTATGAGAAATTGGTGCTAATGTCACTCTTGTCTCTAAGCCAATGGAAGCCCCTTAATTTCCAGATAGAAGTCTTTCTGATATCCTCTCTCACCTAATCTTCTGTTCACAAATTATCCAAAAATTGAATTCCTCAAGCCTTTTCAAACTGTGTTGTATTCAGAACATTATAATGTCATATTTCATTTTCTGCCATCTAGTTATCACAGATGTACTGTATTTTAATGAAATACCCTCATATATAAGATACTGTAGTTCTGGCCGTCAAAAGGATGCTCAACACTTCCTTGTAAAACTGTAATAATCCAGATTTGAAAGGAGAAACATGATTTGGAGTGTGCAGGGACACTTTTACATGTTGATAACTCCTTAAAAATGTGGTGTCTTCCTAGACTTTTGTGCAATCCCAGGTTTGATTTAAGAGAGTACCAAAGTGTGGTCTGAATTATTAGACAGCAAAAGGTAATTAAAGGTGGTAGTCTTATATCCTTTTACTTTTCCTCTGCAGAGGCAGAAAAGCACATACTCTACCTACCCCAAGGCTGAACCCACACCAATCACCTCTTCAGCACCTCCAGGCGGTACCCTCTATTCCTCTCCTGTGGTAAGAACACGCAGCCTTTGGCAGAGAAGAGCCAGCAGAGAAAGCTTTTGGACCCTTGCAGGATAAATACTTTTTAATTGGTTTCTTGTATGGGAGTCAGAGTCAGAGTCAGGTTTGTGAGATGGGCAGCTATATAAATCTGATCAGTCAATCCCAGGAATCAGTTTCAGAGCTTTCGGTGACTCTTACGCCACTTCATTTCTCATTTACCATGACAATTCAGTAGTATCTTGATCAGGCTAATGAAGGATATTTGGAGGATGTTTTTGTTCTCATCTGCCTTGCTTGAGCAGCTAATTTGCAATCTATTCTCAAGCATTTGATACATATTTCTAAAGGATAATTAGATTGTGGGATATTTTCATGATGTTAACCTTACTAAGAGTAAACAAAAAAATATGTCTTTTTCAGAATTCCTCTGCACCTCTAGCTGAGGACATTGATCCTGAGGTGAGACTCCAACCTTTCTAAGCTAATGAGCTGATCTAAATGATATCTGACAATAATTTGCTGGTTTGAATAATGTACTGACAATAAGTTGCTTTCATTTCTCAATATTTCTTGGCAGTTGGCTCGATACCTGAATCGCAACTTTTGGGAAAAGAAGCAGGAGGAAGTGCGCAAGAGCCCCACCCCTTCAGCCCCACTGTCTATGGGGGAGCCAGCAACCCAAGCTACTGAAGTCCCACCTGCCCCACTTACTGTTGTGGAGGTAGGAACAAAACCCTTCTGCGTTAGTACAGGGTCACTCTTTAAGCATCACTCAGATTCATCCACATCACTGTACGGTTTGGGGAATATTTATTTATGAACTGGGAGTAGCAGTGCTTTACGAATGAGTGCTAAGCTTTCTTTTTGGGAGTTGTGAGTTTGTTTCCTTGTGGGTGCATCTATTGTGGTGTGGGGATTATGTGGACAAACAGATATCGGTAGCCACCTTGAAGAACAAAATTCACTTTTAAAGAAGCCGTGCCAGGATTCTTAAGGTGGGAGAAGGCAGAACCTGGGACTTCTGGTCAGCGGTTTCCCATCTCTTTCCCCAGCAGCAATATCAGAACGGTGAGACAGATGAGAGCCATGAGCAGTTTCTGAAAGCTCTGCAGAATGCGGTCACCACCTTTGTCAACCGTATGAAGAGCAACCACCTGCGAGGGCGGAGCATTACCAATGATTCGGCAGTTCTTTCTGTCTTCCAGTCCATCAACAGCATGCACCCCCAGCTCTTGGAGCTACTGAACCAATTGGATGAGCGTCGCTGTATGTTATCAGAAGCTGTGTCCCTGATTTGATTGAAAATAGATTTAGGGTTCCCTCACCCCCTGTTGAATCTTAGCAACCTAAGTGACTGCTGCTACTTTTGGATTGGTGTGGGGTTAAAACAATCCGGTGCTTCCCAATCCTTCTGACAGCTTCGCTTCTGTTTTCCTCTTTAAGAGACTTGGGGAGGTGTGACTAGAGTGGGGGCAGCGATGAGATTCCAGCCTTGTCCTTCTTTTCCACAGTATATTATGAGGGACTTCAAGATAAACTTGCCCAGATCCGGGATGCACGTGGAGCCTTAAATGCCCTGAGAGAAGAGCACAGAGAAAAGCTGCGCCGAGCTGCAGAGGAGGCAGAGCGTCAACGTCAGATCCAGCTAGCTCAAAAACTGGAGATCATGCGGCAGAAGAAGCAGGTGAGGCTTGGGCCGTGATGTCCCATGCTTGTTTGGAGCAAGTATTCCTCTGCTATCTGAAAACATAATGACCACAGAGCCTAACATATCCTGTGCTGTTCCAACCTTTAGGAATATTTGGAGATGCAACGGCAGTTAGCCATCCAGCGCCTTCAAGAGCAGGAAAAGGAACGCCAGTTACGGTTGGAGCAACAGAAGCAAACAATCCAGATGAGGGCACAAATGCCTGCTTTCTCCTTGCCGTATGCGCAGGTATTTGAGTGGAAGAAGACTGGAGAGGCCAAGAATTTCTTTTGCGCTTCCCTTCCCTGCCTGTAAAGCTTACAGGAACTAATCTTGCTTTCTGTGTGTAGCTACAGGCCATGCCTCCTGCCAGCGGAGTGATCTACCAACCATCAGGACCCACAAGCTTCCCAGGCACCTTCAGCCCAGCCAGCTCTGTGGAGGGCTCACCCATGCACACTGTCTACATGAGCCAGTCCACCCAGGGCAGTACAGGACCCTACACTGCGATGCCTGTGGCAGGAGCAGGTAACGGAAGTAGAAGAAAGAAAAGGAGGGGGTGTGGATTTAGCCCAGCCCTTCACTGATAGACTACAAAGCTCAGCTCAGGATGATCTTCATCTCTTGTATGTGTGTTTCAGACCCCGGCATGGTGAGCACCTACATGTACACCACAGGCAATAATAATGCACAACCAGCTCCACAGGGACAGGCAGCGCCCACGACAAATCCTGCTTATTCTTCCTATCAGCCCACACCTACGCAGGGCTACCAGGTATGCTTAATTTTGAATAGCCCCCCCCCCCTTCACCCGAAGTCAGAAGATCAGTTCCTAGTGTTCTACTGGTTGGGTGAAGACTATAAGCCAGTGTAGTGCATTAACTCTGGGAGTTAACTGGGAAAATCCAGATTCAGATCCCTATTCAGACATGAAGATCATGGTGTCCTCCAGGGCTGGTCAAGTTCTCAGTTTAATTAAGGGGGATTTCTTGGCAGGATTAAATAAGGTTGAGATCCACATATTTTCTCTTCACTTACATGTGGAAAAAGCAGGTATTCCCAGCTTTCTAGAAGCAAAAGGCATCATATTTTGATTCTATGTTGAAGCTCATCTAGACTTTCTTTGTAAGTTTCTGGGTATCAAAATTTTCTGCTCAAAAGTTGCTATGTAGGGGGCATCTTGTTCCAGCTATCTTCTTTACCTTGCAGAATGCAGCTGCCCCTTCCCAAACGCAGACAATGCCTGCCATGACACAAGCGGCTCCCCAGTCTGGGGGTACTATGGGTTACATGGGCAGTCAGTCAGTGTCAATGGGATACCAGCCCTACAATATGCAGGTGAGGAAGCTGTTTCAATCACTGTGCTGTTTCCTTTGCTGAATACCATAAACAAGAAGGTTATCAACAGGAAGATTTATAGGGATTGTGTAATTATGTTTATAGAGATAAGAAAATTCATTTCTAAAGCCCAAGTGTGGCTGCATTTCAAGAAGGGCCGCTTGTTCTGGTGCAAAGTTTGACACCCTCTTTTTTTTTTTGCTAGAACCTTATGCCAACTCTCCCTGGCCAGGAATCTGGTCTGAGTAGCCTGCCACCCCAGCAGCCTTACCTGTCAGGACAACAGCCTATGTATCAACAGGTAAGTCTTTGACCAAATTTTCAATGTATTTTGTCCTCCCCTTTCCGACATACTAATGGATTCCTTGACTTTATTAGCATTAAGATGGTGACTCTACCAACCCTTGGGCTAAGGGAGCAAGTGCTGTTAATTCTTTTCTATAGGAATTTAACTGGAAGAAATGCTGTCTTTTTTTCGATGCTCACTTTCATTTATCTTTTGCAGATGGCACCCTCCGGAGGGCCTCCACAACAACAGCCTCCTCCCCAGCAGACACCTCCCCATGTGCAGCAAGTGCAAGGGGGAAGTGGAGAGGCTCAGCTTATTTCTTTTGACTAATCTTTTGGGTTACAAGGCAAGGGAGGGATGGGTTTCTAAAACATTGTAAAGCTATATCATTTCTTGGTCACTGCTGTACTTGCTACACCATTGCTGTTCCTTTGTGCTGTTCCTACAATGGGGAGAGAGGAGAGGAGAGTTGAGCCCTTGGTGTTGGGTAATTTCCCACTGTCTGCATTTTTCCATCCCACCTGTCTAAAATGCTGCTAGGATCAAGAATCTGTAACACCCTATATGCTGCTACTCAGCTGTGGAGAGATAGTGGCCCACAGCCCAACTCACCTAGCTTTTCATTACTTGGATAGCAGAGCTTAGTTCTCAAGCAGTCACTGGTATGTAGATCATTCAAGAAACTGTTCTCTTGTGGGGAAAATAGCATTTAAGCATGCTCAAGTCAGAATTTATGAGATCCAGTGTATGGCATCGCCCTGAGCCCGTATTCTCTCTCTGTCTCAGTGGTCACATCTAGCCAAACAAGTGACCTTCACTTTCCCCAGCACATTCTACTTCTTTCCTCACTAATTTTTGATATTTCTCCACCACTTCCTTCCATGTCCTCTGAGAAAACCCCCATCTTGAACACAGCCTATCCCAGTCAGTATGTTTTTTTAGTCTTCACCCCATCCAACATATCCATTACAACTTAGAAGATTTGTGTCTCATACTTAGTGGCTGGTGTAGACAGAATGGAATCAGTGACAATAAAAATAAGTATTTAAAACTTTCCAGTCTCTGCTTCTGTGACAGCCCTGTGCTGGTGTTTTAGTCTTTGCATAAATGTGCGTTCTACCAAATATGTCACTGGGTTGTGATTTTTGAGGTTGCTCCCACAAGATATGCTATGTTCCAGGACTCAGGGAATTTTCACATATTTACCAACTGAAGAATTTGTAGAACTATCTAGCTTTATATTCAAAAGTTTTGTATCCAAACACAAGGGCCAGGGAGGTGCAGAGTCCTGCACAAATCCTTCCACTGGCCCACCAGGCCAATTGGAACCAGCAGTTTTCTGACCTTCAGAGGCTTCTTTTCATCTCCAGTTGGAGAAACATGACTTTCATGCTCTTAACATCTTGGACGATCTTCAGCCTGCATCAGCAATAGTTCATCTAGGAAAGGGAGCGTTGTTTTGAGAACATGTCTTCAACAATACTAAGCAGACTTGAGTCCTTGATGAGTTCATAAAATTGGATTCCCTATGTTTGGTTTTCTATTCCATGATATTCCAGGAAGTTCAGCATCTAACCATTGACTTTGGTATATTTCTGTTGAAAAGCTGCATTGATCTCTAAAGTAATAACAATAAAAGCCTTGGCAGTTAGGCCTTAACCTAACTGCACACGCTTTTGTGACTGCATTATGGTCTGCCTATCTGTTTCATGCATCTTATGATCTAAACATAGGTTGTCCTGAAAAGAATAATTCCTCAATCAATTTTTGATGGGAGCTATATAAAACACACTTAGAAAGGTTTTTTTTTTTCCAATTCAGTGATATTTAGTACTTCTGTGACAGGACTTGTATTTTGAATGCTACCATTACTATGAGAAAGTCAAAAAAATTCCTTCAGCCAATTTCATGTGATTCTTGACAGTAATACAGAAGTGGTTTGCCATTGCCTTTCTCAACTTTCCAGTGTAGCCTACACTACAGCTTTAATCTATCCAAGTGCTAACTAGGTCCAACCTTTCATTTTTTTCAAAGTCAGGGTTAGCTCCATACTGTCGCAACAAAGAATCATTAGGTGAAACTAAAAAGTTCTGCTATGGAAAATAATTTGGTTTTTTTATTTTTTTTAATGCTGTAATGAATGGACAGTGGCCATTAGTGCAATATTCTTACAAATCCCAACATATCAGTATATTAAAGAACAGGATATAAGGCAAAACTAGTATTTATTTTGTACCAGGTTGGTGATTAGATAATAAAATTGCCCTGTTTTTTTTTCTTTGGTCTTCACCCAAAAAGTGTTTTGTATACAAAACAGAAACCTCTCTACACAACTTTTTTATCAATATGTGCCAACAAGTACAGTACAGTAACTCAAATGCAATGTTTCCTGAAATAACCCTTTGTTCCAAGAAGACTGAAATTGACGTGCGGAAAAAAACTGCAAAAAAAAAACTGCTATAAGATGAACCGCAGGTAAAATGTGTGTCCACTTTCTCAAGGTCCTGTAATGGGTTTACTGCTAAAGAAATAAAATATAATAAAAATAACATTTCCATCTACTTCACTACCTTATGTCTGATCTATTGACTTCACTCCCTCGGGCAAAATTTTAAATTAGTCCTCCCTTGCGGAGCTGTTAAGAAGCTCACACAGTAAATCGTAAATTATAGTCTTCCAACCAGGGGTCTCCAACCTTGGCCACTTTAAGACTGGGAGTTGAAGTCCACAAGTCTTAAAAGTGGCCAAGGTTGGGGACCCCTGCTGTAAACCCTACAGGGAGCCTCATTCGTCCACCTGCGCACTGAAACCCCAGCTTGGAGTTTTTTTCCGCTTAAGCCTCCGAATTGCGAAATATTCTTTAGTTGCAAATATTACTTCGTTTCACTTTGTTCCCCGAGCGTCGCAATGGCAGCCGGGTAACAGAGTTTGGTACTGTGAAAAACGGACTTCCTGTTCCCATAGTTTTCATTTCTAACATGGTACGCTAGACGGGCCATTTGAATCGTCACATCCGCTTTACCATCGAGATGCAAGGCTGTGTAACGCTCTGTACATCACGGAGAGTCGAACTCGGCGGAGATTGGACGTTTCGTATAACCATAGAGAGATGCTCGGAGGGAGCGTCCCCGGCGCCCTTTGCGGTGTGCACGCTGCAGAAAGAGGGGGACCGTCGGTGTTTCCTTCCTGCCGCCTTTTGGAGCCGCCGGTATGGCCATGTTTCCCGCGGCCGGACTCGGTACCGCTCTCCGCCTGTTGCTGCGGTACGTAGGCCTAGGCGACCGATGTCCCAAACGAAGGGGAAGCGGGTGGGGACGAACTAGAGGCCTGAACGGCCAAATAAAGGTCATACGCCAGCCCCGCTTCTGCAGACTGAGCCCTTGCTTGTTGACGCGCGTATAATTGCAGGTGGGGCAGCGGAGATTTCTTTGGCTCCCTTTTAAACAAGCCCTCTCGATGTGTGGAGGGAAAATTTACTTTTTGATAAGTCCCGAAGCATCCCTGAAAGATCGGCTCTGGTTACCCCCAACTTGCTATGGGGGAAGAACCTGATGATGGGTGGACTCCTGTAAGCTGGGGTGAGGTCTGAACCAGCAACTTCGTAACTTAGGGCTCTGGCCGTTAGAGAATGGAAGCATCCAGGTAACATCCATAAATAAGTTATAATAGATCATATAGTACTTGTTGCTATTACTGCAAAAAAAATACTGATTTAAAGCAGGCCTATTTTATCGGAGGAATCTCTTATGAATAAAAATGCACATTTAAAATAAATTTACCCACATTAATCCCCAATTATTAAAAACAGCCTGTCCTTTGTCATGTTGAAGCATGCTAGCAAAGCAGATTAAGTTTTGTTAAAAAAAAATAATAATTATGCAAAATTAAAACATTAGACCCAGCTTAACTTTTGATAGGCTGTTTTAAATTACTTGAACTGCATCTTTTGCCATATGAAAACTAGTCATTATAAAGCTCCTACCATGTCATATTTCAGGCTATTGAACATATTTCTGAAACGACTATTCAGAATATTCCACTATTTCTGAAATGACTATTTCTAAAATGGAATTTGTCAAATTTTGCTAATAAAATGGCCGGGGAAGATTGGTGCATATGCACCAATCCATTCTGTTGTTCTCCCCCAGCCATCTTGGTTGGTCTTGCCTTGTTATCCCTCCTTTCTTCATCTGTTCAACAGATATTTTTCATTTGCATGTACCTGTGTGTTGGGAAACGTGAATGATAACTATTGTTATCTGATTTTCTACAGGCAGCATCGATCACAAGCTTGTGCTATCCGGATGCTGAAGACTACATGTTCAAAGTGTAGTGAAGTCTTAGCAAGTCCACATATGGATGATGCCCCAAAAGAATATTCACCCAAAATTCAGCAGCTAGTTCAGGACATTGCTAACCTGACTCTTCTGGAGATCTCTGACCTCAATGAGTTGCTAAAGGTACCATTTTTACATTGGGAACTGGGTGATCAAAGATTAAAAAGTTGTAGTAGATGCTTCCTGTTGTTTGTAGCTTCTTTTTCCTTATAGAGATGGATTGGGTTATAATCTCTGCTTCAGTATTACAAGTGATGTAAAAGATGGATAAAAAGATGTTTTCTATGTTTACAGAAAACTCTCAAGATCCAAGATATTGGACTTATGCCAATGGCCGGGATGATGCCAGCAACACAGTTGGCAGCACCAGTAAGCAATCAGCTTTATATCTTGTCATTTACCTGAATCAAATGGTAATTGTTTTTGGACAAGGGTCTGAATGTATCTGGTCAACAAATATACATTGTTCTTGAAGAGATAGGTATGAAACTTGCAAGCATGAAGGTAAAAGCTGCAGACAGGCTGCTTTCTTTATTTGGTATTTAAAAGAACTGCTGCATGATATAATGAAAATAATAGCACAGTTAGTATTTGTAATGATATGCAAACTGTAATAAACTCCTAAACAATTGGCAGTATAGAATAGGGCAAAAAGATTTATAAAGGATGTTCACGAGTTAAAGTTAGCTACTTCTCTATGCAGCTTTGTTTTAGTTAGCTGGATACTTTTCAGTCCTGAGGGTGATCCTAAGTTAAGCGGGATAACACATATTTATTATACTGGACTTAGCAGCCATTTTTTTCAGCTGTCCCTTTTAAATATTACCATATCTCTATTGCTCACTTAATAGTTTCGTACATATTCTTGTATATCATGCTTTTCTATTAAAGCTAAGCTTTGCATAATTAAATATGGAATGGATATCTTTGTAGTGCCCCAATTATTCTGAGATTTGCTTCCTGACTAAAAGATTGTCTGGATTTGAGTAAATCAAGTGAAAATATTTCTAAAACTTTAAGAAATCTATTCCAAGTGGTTGCTTAATTTTACTCTAAAGGAGTTCCCAAAACAATCTCCTTTTAGCAGTTCTGGAAATCTGCCAAATTCAGTGGGATATCTATAGTAATTGTGGAGAGATGCCTTTTAGAGACTACTCCATTCTCCCTGCTGCTGCATATTATCCACATCAAGGTTGTTGTCTGATCTTCTCTCCATTTACTAAACAAAAAGGCACTAGCAGCACTTCTTTTCCTTTTATTTTTTCTTTTACATTTTGAAAGTATTTGGACTTTTACTGGGGTGGAATGGTGATAAAAATTTCAAAATGTGAAGATGCAATAAAAATTTGCCAAATATTAGTTTACCCAGGAACATTAAACCTGGATAAAACTATGGACTACAAAGTCTGCAGCATACTTAGCATACATAAGAAGGAGCCCACACTAGCTCCTGAATGAAATAATTCATTAGCAATTTTTGGAAATATTTTAACCAGCTCCATAGAGAAGAAAGAAAGAAACGGTCCTTAAAGTAAGGGGATTTTTCCAGATAAAATAGCGCATAGGACATCAACTTCTCAAAAAGGAAAATATATGTTTGGAATGTCTAGGTTAAGAAATTAAGAAAACAAGCTTTTTCAAGGATGGGGTTTTCTAATTCTATCCTCTCTTCTGTGACCTGATTCACGAAGACAAATCAATGAGTTTACTCTGTTTGGGGGGGAAACTTATTTCTTGCTAGTCAAAATTAATTTTTTAGCTCTTGTGATTATTCCTATTGCCTGGGGAAGATGTGAGTTGTCATTTGTGATTGGATTTAGGCAGCTTGGTTGCAGAGTGTAAAGTCACTGATCAGGCAAACAAAAAACCAGGATGAGATTTATTTCTTAATGTGGATGGGCAAATATGTTTTATTAGGTTTATCAGTGAAACGTGTATATCAAAGTTCTGGAGGAATGACAAAAGAAACAGAAATAATAAAGACTTGCATTACTTGTTTAAAATATCCATTCCCACTTAGAAATTCAGAGGGATGTACTTGATATACTGTGAGAGAACATTTGATTAAAACAAGTCACAGAAGAATAAATAATATTATTGTTGTCAATACATTCAAAATTTTAAAAAAGAATCCATATACGTTGCTAAGTGAAAAAGGCAAAACACTAACAAGTTGTGACCAGGAGGGCCTTTGCACAACTGCAGGTTGTGCACCAGTTACGCCCTTTCCTGGATCAGCGGTCCCTACTCACAGTCACTCACTCCCTGGTCACTTCCCGTCTTGATTATTGCAATGTGCTCTACATGGGGCTGCCCTTGAAGAGCATACGAAGCGCCAGTTGGTGAAAATGCAGCGACCCACATGGTTTTATGCAGACCCCGGTTTGCACATGTGTCACCTCTCCTGCAGGAGCTGCATTGGTTGCCAATTTGCTTCCAGGTGCAATTCAAGGTGCTGGTTATCACCTTTAAAGCCCTTCATGGCTTGGGTCCGGGTTATCTGAGGGAACGTCTCTTGTCAATCACATCCACCCGAACCATTAGAGCGAGGAGGC